GGGGGGGGATGTTCTCAACAGAACGTCACTGATCCCGGAAGTGACCTCAGTGTCTTTTCCCGTCCAAACAAACCTGTGTGGCTCTCGGCCGGGGGAGGATGTCGGTTCCCCAGGGGGGTCCCCTGCCGGGGCCGGCCGAGCCCGGCTCGGAGCCGCCGGGCGGGAAGCGGCGGCCGCACGGGATGCTGAAGCTCTACTACGGGCTGCCGGACCCGGCGGGGGAGGCTCGGGGCGGCCTGCCCCCAGGAGGGGATCCCGGGGGACCTACTGACATCAATGGGGCGCACTTCGACCCGGAAGTGTTCCTCACTAAGGTGCTCCCTGACGCTGGATGTGCTCAGACCCAGGGGGACTCTCAAAACCTATGGATCCCTGTGTACCAAGGTCCTCCCCCCAATATTCCTCTATGAGCCCCCACACACTGACCCCTCTGCCGGACTCCCCCCACGCCTGGATCGCCGAGCCCTGCCCGAGGAGCCTCCCCTCCCATACTGATTCTCTAGGGTTCGCCCCTCAAGTCCCTGGTTTACCCTACCAGGGACCCAGACTCCTGCAGGGTAGCTCCCCCAGCGGCACTTCCCACACACACTTCCCTCCCTGGAACCCTGTCACAGCAGTGACTGCACCTGGGGATTCTCCCCAAAAGGGCTTGACCTTATAGCCTGTCTCTCAGGGAAACCGTCCTGTCAAACCCATTTCAATATCGCAACCCCTGCCGGTGACTATTGCCTGCCTCCCCTGGGGAGCCCTCCTTTCTGCTCCCTCCCATACACCTCCATCCCCCAATATTGGGCGGGCTGTGGGTCATGATTGAGGGGTACCTGCAGAATAGGGGAGTTCAGGCCTGAGATTGATGGGGCTGTAGGTCGGCTTGAGGTGTACCAGCAGAGCTGGGGAGGGCACATAGTCTAGGCCTGAAATTGTAGGGGGCTGCAGATCAGTATTGAGGGGAATTGGCAGAACTGTAGGTCTAAGCCCAGGGTTGAGATAATGGGGAAACAGGTGGGGATTGAAGGGCACTGGCAGAGCTGGCATCCCTGGCTATGCCCCTCACTCACTGTTACTCTCCCTAGCTGCGGAAGGAGTGCTCACTAGCCCAGCTTATGGACTGTGAGACTGACATGGTAAAGCAGATCCGCGCCCTGGACAGCGACATGCAGACCCTGGTCTATGAGAACTACAACAAGTTCATCTCAGCCACAGGTACCATGCAGGGCCGCCCAGATCCCAGTCATCCAGATGTGGCCTTAGCACTGGGGCTGAATCTTTGGGCCTGGCTGATTTCCTTCTTCTACTCCCCAGACACAATCCGCAAGATGAAGAATGACTTCAAGAAGATGGAGGACGAGATGGATTGCCTGGCTGCCAACATGGCTGTCATCACGGAGTTCAGCGCCTGCATCAGCAGCACCCTGCAGGACCAGCATGAGCAGATCACCAAGCTCTCGGGTACTGGCCACAAGCCGCCCTCTGAGCCAGCTGAAAAGATCCAAGGGTCTGATGTGGGGTGGTAGGGATACGGTGCTGAATAGGCTCATTGGTTTGATCCAGGGCAGTAGGGATGGCGTCTGGAGGCATGTCAGGCTAGATGAGCTCATCGGTTGTATCCGACACAGGAAATCCTATGTGAGGTTCAAGAGCAGAGAGGATTTTGGGAGAGGGTGGCAGGTGTGCTGTCCTCTGCCTTGGCTGGGCCAAGACGCCAAGTCCCTTCTCAGGAGACAGGGACTCAGGAGTGGATCTAGGGCTTCCAAGGATAGAAATGAGGTGTGGAGGGAAGCCTGGGAGGGAGAGCCCTGTAGCTGCACTGTTCAGTCCCCTGCTTGGCCAGTGCTGTGGCTGCTCTTCTCCACAGCTAGGGAAGGCAGTATTACCCTGGTTTCCCTGATCTAGGGCCAAGATGGCAGCTGATGGAGCGGGAAGAGCAGCCCAGCAAACCACCCAGTGACTAGAAGAATCAGGATAGAACAGGGGTGGTGGGAGGGTCCATGAAGAGCTCCAGGCCATATCCTGCCTGAGCAGCTGAAGAAGGGCATAGGGAGGAGGTGCGTGCTAGGGGATGCTGGCACTGCCTCTAACAGGGTTTCTCTGGATCCCAGGGGTCCACACACTCCTGCGCAAGCTGCAGTTTCTCTTTGAGCTGCCTGCCCGCCTCACCAAGTGTGTGGAACTGGAGGCCTATGGACAGGCAGTGCGCTACTACAGCAAAGCCCGCTCTATCCTGCACCAGTACCAGCACATGCCCTCCTTCCAGGGCATCCAGGACGACTGCCAGAAGATCATGGCCAACCTGGCGCAGAAGCTGCGGGAGAAATTCAGGTACAGGCCCTTGGATCTGATCCAGTGTTGGGGGAGTGGACAAAGAGCGAGGTGGGACAGCTGCATTGGTCTGACCCAGAGTGGGAGGGATACCAGGGTAGATGGGTGCAAAGGTCTGATCCAAAGGATGATAGGTTAACTATTACCTCAATCACCCAACTTCCCCCATTCATTTCAGTCGGTTTGTTAACTCTGAAACTTAATGTCAACACAAATAGTGACGGCATGGTGGAAATCAGCAACATTGAGGTCTATCATTAGGTTTCAGAATTATTACCCCAATTGAGACAAATGGACTGGATTCCAGGTCCAGAAGCTGGATGCTGTTGTTAAGTCCCATAGCCATCCCTTAAACCCTGCTGCAGGTGCATTGGGAGTGGGGGGTCCATGTTTCAGCTCCCCTGCCATTTCCAATGTCCTCTCCTTTCCTTGGTAGGGACGGGGGCTCTGGGGCAAAGGACCTGGCTGAGTGCGTGGAGCTGCTGCTGCAGCTGGATGAACCAGCAGAGGAGCTGTGTGACGAGTTCCTTTCCCATGCCCGCTGCCGGTTGGAGGCTGAGCTGGAGGCCCTAGAAGCAGAGCTGGGGCAGCCAGGTGGTGCCCCTATCACTGACATCCTGGAGTTCATCGACCGTGGCTGCAACATCTTTGTCAGCAACATGTGCCTGGTGATCGCCTCCTACCAGGAGCTTTTTGTCAGCCGAGAAGGGGTGCAGGGCATCACCCGCATGGCACAGGACAAGCTGGTGGCCTTTGTCAACTCCCTCATGGAGACATACTTCTCCCTGGTGGAGCGGCGCATCCAGTTGGAGAAAGGGGTCGGGGACAACTCACTGCTGGTGCGGGCCCTGGACCGCTTCCACCGGCGCCTACAAGCCCTGGCCAAGCTGCTGCCGGCCTCCAATGTGGCAGCAGAGGGCACGGAGATTGTGGTGCGGGCTGCCAAGGAGCGCATCCGCCAGTACCTGCTGGCCCTGCAGAGCTTCTACCAGGACTGTCTGACAGATGTGCGCCAGTCGCTAGCTGCCCCACGCCTGGCAGGCAAGGAGAGCCCCAACCTGGCCGAGCTGCTGGGCACCATCTCGGCCTCTGTCCTTAACCAGATCAAGTCGGTGCTCACCTACGTCCACCTCTTCACAGCAAAGGACATCACCTTCTCCAACAAGCCCTACTTCAAGGTGACACCGCCTGGGGGGGGAGGAGGGGACTGTGAGCCATGGGAGTTAGAGATTGAGAGTCAGGTATATTCAGTTTCTCCTCCAACAGTTCTACTGCCCCTCAGCAATCCCTAGCTCTTCTAGCCCTTTTCATCAGGACATCTTCAAAGCTCTATATAAGGGCGGTCGCTATCATTAGCTCCATTTGTAGAGATGAAGAAACCCAAAAGAATGGTCCAGGGGTTCAGGCACTAGCCTAGGACTTGGGAGACAGGTTCAATTTCCTGCTCTGCCACAGGCTTCCTCTGTGACCTTGGGCAAGTCACTTAGCCGCTCTGTGCCTTGGTTTCCCCATCTGTATAAGGGGGATAATAGCACTGGGGGCAGGGGTGAAGCCACAGGGGGCTGTGGTGGGGGCTGGCAACTGGGCCCGCAGTCAGGTGCGGCTCTGCTCTGCTCCCAGCCCCACCCCACCCCGAGGCTGGGGCCAGGCACAGGGCCGGGAATGTGGCTGGGGACGGGATCAGAGCTGCGGGCAGGGAGGGGCTGGGTGGTGCTCCCTCCCCAACCCTGGGGCTGGCCTGGTCTCTGCTGCCCCCTGCTCCTGAAGGTTCTTCCATGGCCCCCTGGAGTGGCACGCCTCCCAGTTTGGTGACCTCTGGAATAATGTGTTCCATGCAGATACTGTTCTGTATCAGTCTGCAGGGGTTTCCTGACTGCTGCTGGGCCCTTCCTGACTTCATAACTGGCTTCAGAGCTGCGGCCTTTATGAATGTCCCGTCTCCCACAAGG